TATGTGTGTGTGTGTGTGTGTGTGTGTGTGTGTGTATGTGTGTGCTGGAACCGATGTAAGTACATGTACATTATAGAATCTAGTTTACCAAAACAAACATTCTTTTCAAGTAGCCGGCGAAGAATCCATACCACTGAAATAGTTGACCTCATTGCAGGAGGTCAATATTTACAACCACCGGTCAAAAGAAACATTAATCACGGGTGGTCTCGAAGCTTTGTGTGGTCTTTTGTCTAAAAAGCTTTCTAGCACAATGGTTCGCGAGTTGAGTCAATGGAACTCCTGTCTGTTATGTAAGAACTAAGAACCAATGTCTCGATGATAAACATTATTTTCAGGACAATCACCGTTGTGCGTAGTTGGCCCTTCTTTTCTTTTAAACTTCTATTGTCCTTATTTCTCCTCCCTTTTTTGTGAGTTACACTCTAATCTTCGACACTTATATAAAGATATAAAATCACATTTTCATCGATCCCAGAAAGGCAACTTAGTTTTGAAGACTCCAACATTTCTTAGAAAATTATAGAAGATCTAATAGGAGTACAGAAAACCTCATAAGTACGAAAACATGATTAAGTTCTGGCAAAGGGCGAAACATTCAGACAAAAAGACAGACAGACAGACAAACAGACAGACAGACAGACAGAAAGACAAACTTACAAACAGACGTGCAAACAGACAGACAAACAGACAGGCACACAGACAGAAACAAGAGTACGAGGGAAATTATATAGCCTACGGCGAACGATTTTCATCCACACGTAAACAGCAGATTCTAATTGTTAATTTGGCAGGTCACAACTTCACCTTTCTGTCCGTACGTTCAAGAAAGGTTAACGAGACGCGGACATAAATGCGTTTTATCAGTCATTCTGGGATTAATGCGTTGAAAATAAAACGCATTTCTTTTAATTACTGTTAAAGCATAAACGCGAGCGCACAAATGGAGTGACGACATGGACGGAGGAGTCAAGGGATAATAATAGGGTAGAGCGCATGGAGCCTACTATTGATCAGGGATATGCGCTATGTAGTACTAATACTAATACTAATAGTTATATGAATACTAAAACTAATACTAATACTAATACTAATACTAATACTAATACTACTATTGGTGATATAAAAGCAGATGTTTGGATCCTCAAAGGTTTGTTTAAGATGAGAAAAAGGCGCAAAAATCGGGCTCACTTTTTTTGTCTAAACGCAATATTTTGTCTGATGGGAAGTACGTAAAGACAGGATGATCAGATTAGTATCTTGGTGCCGGAGA